TCCTGTATCTTGGGAGCGTTTACGAACAGACGATTTCACATACACACCACACCCAGACGCGGAACAACAATTTGTGGATCACACAGTTTTTCCCGCTCACGTTGTGTGGCAGCCACCGCGCCAACCGTGTAGTCTGTCAGTCAATATATACCTTCCTATTTATAGTATTTTTAAGTTTTTATATTGTATATATTTTATGTACATGTTTATCTGACCCTTGGATGCCTGAAATTAATGGATATATTAAAAAAAAAGGTGTAGATTGAAGATAGCCAATATTTTCTTTTGAAAACGGACTACATCTCAAATATTTTCCGCATTTTTTGCTAGATAGTCAACGCTCAAATCATTCTGAAGGGATTTAGATAAAATTGATATAAAGATGATTCTAATATAGATTAGCACAATCATTGACTTTTCTTGGAGATAACGTGAGAAAATAGAGATACTTATACTTACTCAAATAAATATGTATATCATCACGCATCAGTTCATATCGCAATTTTAACGTTCTTCTAGAAGTAATATTTGTAAACGTAAATAAATGTAGGTAGTTAAGAAAGGGTAGCAAAATATTTTGAAACATTCTTGCAAAGTATATTCATTCATTTATTTAACGAGAAGGTGTACACAAGGTGGACTTAATGCCTTGATCATTGTCAATGTTGATGACTTAATCGAGAGTGCTCTTAACAATATAAAATGATATGGAATACTATAAAAATAAAAAAAAACGACAAAAAATCTAAGATCTTCAAAAAGTAAAAAAATAAAAGAAATACGTCGCATTAATGGGGGACCGTAAAAATTGGAAGTTAATAAATAATTTGTTTTTTGTCGGAGGTTTTTTTAATATTTAATATTGAAACAGTCCTCCACAGCCCAAGGAACTTCTTTGATTGTTGTAGGAAGGAAAAAAATATTAGGGAAACTATCCTTGATTTAGTTGGAAGACCACAAACTTCTTACATACGTTTTTGAGTAAATATGTAGCTTTTCATAAACAAGCGATACACAAATTAAGTATCTATGAACTATACCTGGACCTTAAGTAAAAAACAGTGAATCATGAAGGATGTTTCGTATGTACATTCACGATATGTGTAGACTTTTGGATGTGCAAGCAAGGTTAGGTAGCTTGTATAACATTATCAAAATTAATATTATAAATGCTAATGTAACTCTGTCTGTCTTTTCTTCACACCTAAACTACTGGACCTATTTGTGTGAAATTTGGTATAGACATAGTTTAGAACTCGAGAAAGGACATAAGAAAGTTTTTAAACCAAAAATCTGCAGGAAGTCACTATTCCACGCGAACATAATCGCGGGCAAAAGCTAGTCAATTTTATAAAAGAAATATTTGTTTGTTCGTTCTTCTTTTAACTTGAGACGACGATAATTAAGATGGACTTATGTGGAAATGTTTCGTTGAAAAATATATATACACTATCTTCTTTAAAAAAAAGTGTTTGTATTGATTTATTTTTTCGTAAACATTGCTCCACGCTTGTTTTTTTCTTCTGATTAAGTGCTTTTACTAAAATACATATTTATTACATGTATTTTTATATGCTTCATCTTTCACATATTTTCTCACAGATCTATTTTACGTACACATCACACCGAGACCCGGAACAACTATTAGTTGGATCACACAGAGACTTGTTCCATTCGGAAAACGAAATCCCAGCAGCACGTGGCACGGCTGCCGTTTTTCTAGCAACCGCTCCAATTTTGCAGTTTGTTTTATTGTCATATTACGTTATTTTTGTGAGGGGAAAATCGTCATAAGACGAAAAAATAATGAATGATAAAAACGCCCCCGTTCCTTCTCCTGCTCTGGACCGGTTCCTCATTGCGCTTACCCTGCAACCCCGGCTGAATTGTCATATTATGTTGAAATTATACATACATATAATACTTTAGGTAAATGTCAAATTACGGTTAGTATAATAAAAATGAACAATAGCAAAGAGTCAAGAGCAAGTAAAGAGATTATTAATCTCAGTGAGTCGCACACCTAATTGTAACTAATACGAGTGTTAACCGACGCACGTGTATGTAATGAACACATGTATGTATATTATATATTAGCTCCTATATAATATATACTACCTACATATGTAAGTGCAGAGGTGTTAATAACTGTCGATAAAATCGTACCACGGTCATGGATACGGATTAGTGACAATCCTAACTATGTATAATAACATAAATGCAAATGTAGGTTTGTTTGTTTGTTTCGTATTTCATTGTCATTATCAGTCTCAGTCTGTAAATGTCCACTACTGAGCTAAAGGACACAAGAAAAGCCACAATTTAAGTGTGAGAAGAGGTTGTTACCCTTAGAATTGTAGCCAATAGACCACCACAGACGGGGCCCTATAGGGCTGATGTTCAGCCGGGGTTGCGGGGTAAGCGTAATGAGGAACCGTGACCTCGGCCCAGAGCAGAAGAAGGAACCAGGGGTTGGTTGATGGTGATGTGATGGTTTTTAGTCAGTAAGAGTCGGACACTCCCTCCCGCCCTGGGCGGGAGAAGTATTTAGATGATATTTCCCTCACAAGAAAAAAAAACCCTTAAGCCCGGTTTCCACTGCGAAAGGGTAATGTACGGAAAATGGTTAGGCGGAACGGACTCCTTTTTAGTCGGTCTCCTTAGGATTGCGTTTCCACCAACGAAGAGATGGTCATTTGATTTCCACTGCAAAATAAAACTGGGATAGAGAAATCATTTCTACTCTTTCTACACGCTCGTCTCTTTCCGTCCGACTATTTGTTGGTAGAAATACAAGTATGCAGTTTGCGTTTGCGAGTTTAACGAAGTCATTAATGGGTCCGTTCCGCTCGCGGTGGAAACCGGGCTTTAGAATTGTGTCTTTTAGCTTTATTTATACAATTTTCTTGAAATTCATCTATAGTTTCAAGTACGAAAAAGTACTTCCACTAAACATATATGTACAACAGACTAGTATAATAATATACTGATGTTTGCAGGTGCCAGCTTAATCACCCGACTCGAAGCAGGAGGAGGAACAGGGTGGTTTTTAGATAGTAGGAGTCTGAATCTCCCTCTTAAAGTGAGAGAAGACTTTGGATGATTAGACTGCACAGTTGGCCTGATGGCTGGGCAACTGGGTGTCCAACGTATCGCTGGTTGATTACCGCAAGGAAAAAGACTTTATGTAATCTACAAATTGTTGTTTCGGGTTGGGTTGGTTTGTATACGTAAATTTGTATGTTTGTAAACGCACCGAAAACACAAGAGAAAATTCCAGAGCGAAGCAAGGTCTTTTTAAAAAAAAGAAATGTTTGCCCCCTATAAAAAAAGGAGTTAGTATAGTAAATGTTTTTTGGCATACCCTTAACCAATATCGCTGTAATATTTGTTTAACCAAACAGCCATAGAGAACGAACGCTCTGACATTAAAAAACTCATAAGTCAAAAGTTCATCGAACTCGATTGCAGATTTAACTCGAAGACTCGAAGTAATTTCGAAAGAAAATAATGTTTCAACATAACTGTAGCAATGATTAATTTAATCATGATTACATGACTAGTAATATATTATTAGGTATGCATATAAGTACGAGTAAAACCTGACAAGTGGTTGTCGCTTTACAACTTGACGTAAAAAATCACGTTTCTCATAATGATGGTGCCTTTTTAAATAATTTTCTTTTTAGAAAGTATTTGTTGTTACAGATAAAATATAGCATCTGTGAACTTTTTTGTCTCTTTAGCACAGTTTATAAGGTACAACCTAACGTGACAAACAGTCAGGCATATACATAGGTATAGGTACCTACATATAGGATAGACACTGATTAAGAGCCAAAACAACCAACCATAAATTTAAAAACTCTGACATAAACTTGGTTAAAATTTGGTCTTTATCATTTGTAAAGAATGCTGGCTATGGGACTCTTTCTTATTGTAATGGCAGAAAACTATCGGGTGACTCTAGGTGGTATGAGAGTGAGTGTCGGACTTTTCACATCTTCGGCCTATAAGTGCCAACTGCTAAGCAAAGGCCTCATCTTACACGGAAAAGGTTTGAGCATTAATCCAAGGCGGGTTGATATTTTGAAACTTATAATTAGAAATTATACGTCGAGGTTCCCTCACAATGTTTTCCTTCACCGTATTTCAGTAGTGGCTAAGTAACTAGGTACATATAACTCGGAAAAAGTCACATTGGTTCTTGCCTCCGGGACATCAAGACGTTAGTCAGTCTGTCAGACTCTTACTGTCAAAAAGCATTCCGTTCTTTCTATTTCACGTTACCTCGGCCGGATATTTGTTACGGAACTCTAATAAGTGGTTATTAGATAAGTAGTTTAGTATTTAACACAGTTTCCAATCACATTTTAATACATTCGGTCGTTAGAATGACTTATCTGTGTCACCTTTCACGTTGCCCTCGTGTGCTTGTTTATAAATACAACTCATGAAAAGTCCATAAGGATTAAGGCTGAGCATCCAATAATGAGAGCATTAAAACGCAGAATTTTATTACTATTATTGTAGAAAGTATAAGTGATTAATTTGGCTTAAATAACTTAAAATTGTTATCACTGTGAATAACAGCGAATTTTATTCAAACAATGTTAGTCTTTATTTAAATTGTCGAAGTGTTCTCATTAACACTTAATTTCGTTTCAAGATAACTAAACAGCTGGTTTCAGTTAACAACATTTTCCTTCTTAGAACTTGTTCATAATCGTGACTGAGTATGGTAAAATATGAATGGTACATGTATTTAATTTGTGTACCTTCTATTTAAATGAAAAAATAAATTAGAGATTAAGAAAATAAAAAGGTTTTCGCGTTTATTAAATAATTTTTTGATCCACAGTGTAGCTTGGTATGTTTTGTGAAACCACGATTTTTTTATTTTAATGTTGTTTGTTGTATGTTTTTATAAGCAAAAGAAAATTTTTATGTTGTAAATATTAAAAAAGGGAATAAATTCAAACATAAGTTACTAAACTTACCGAATAAATTCTCACACAAAAACACAAAACTGCACTGTTCACTAAAACACAGACACAAAACCGAAGATATTCAAACAAATGAATTCCTTTTTCAAAAAAAATATTTACGTTCCCGCCACACGCGACGTTCGAGAATCGAAATTGCGCGCGAAGTGATCAAGTGACAGTAATGGCGGACGGCGAAGCACTACTAACAGCCGACTGAGAGCTCGAGAAGGTCGAACTGAACTGTGTAACCGTTGCATCGTTTAGAGATAAATGTTACTCTCGCAAGCATTTGCATCAACACCAAGGCAGGAAACAATTCGCACCCATCTGCCGGCAGAGTGTTGAACCATCCGGAGACCGGACACCGGAATGAGCACATTATCAAGCACATCGTAACGTCATAATTGATTTTAAATATACATTGTGATTAGCAAATGAAAAAATGTTTTAATTTATTAATTATTTTTCATTCATTGGTTTAATTATTACGCTTGAGCCGTATAATAACGGGTCGTATTTTTCGACTTCTTCACGTTCAGTTATCTGCACTTAACCGCTACGTATTAGGAAGACAAAACGTAGGTTTTTTTTCTATATGTCAGTACATATATGGATAAGATGACTGAAAAATTGAACCGGTCCATGAAATATGTTAAATATGAATGGACCTAGTAAATAGCTTTTTTGAAGAATCCAAATCATTAATGTATTTTATAGGATACTAGCTTACACCCGCGGCTTCTCACGCATATAAAAGTATCGGTTAAAAATAGGTACCGGAATTTTTAAACACTAATAAAAAACATAAAAAATCCCATTAAAACCCATAGGTCGACTAAAATACGTAAATTAAGTTTAATTTATTTCTACCTTACGTGGTTTAGATATTTTTATACAAATTTAAGCTTCCCGAGGGAATTTTGCAATATCTTGTTGCAACTACCTAAGCTTTAAGTTTACTATGGTACCTGCAAGCCAAATACCAAGCGACTAAGTTAACCCTTTTACATTTTTTATACAAAAAGATTTTCCCGTTCCCGTGGTATTTTCGGGAATACCTTTTTTAGACCACCTCTACAGTACCCAGCACCCTTTCAAATTAAAGTGCCTACGTTTAGCCGCTGTGCGTTGATATGTTAGTCAATTTCTCCTTTTAATATAGTTTGAAGACACAGCAGCAAATTGGCTATTTAAACCTAAAGGCTAACTGCTCGTAAAGGTACAATATTGAACCTGACGTATTGCTATACACAGGTAAAATAAACCATATCCCATTAAGTATTTTCTGCGTAAAATTGAAATTAACAGAAGTCGTAAATGCAAATTAGTTTTACACTGTAATGCTTACCTATTTTTTTCGTTTTTAGTTCGTGAATAATGTAAGGAAAGTTCAACCTCCCTATACGTTGTTACCTTATTGTTTTATTCATTTATTTAAACTTAACATAATAAAATGTACAGGCGGACTTAATGCCTTAGGTATTTGAGCTTTAGGTGATGGAGAGATGAGAATGGCAGGGCCTTACCTCTTCTTCTTCGTTGATGAATAAAGTAAGTAAAAACTGTAATCTATTCTCATTCCTAATCCTAGATGTGTTTATTTCTCAAATGGTATTATTTCACTGTAAGAGCCTATTCGCACAGCAAAATAATTAATTAAATTAATTTCTTATTTCAGACTAGACATCCCTAAAATATAAGTGTTAAAGAAGTATCTATATAGTTGATATAGTGAGGTGTGGGAGAGCCATACTTCGGCACGAATGTGTCGACTCGACCTGAGTGATACCACGGCCTCACAGAAAACCGGCGTGAAACAGCCACAGCGTTGTGTTTCGCTGTGTAAGTGAGGTTACCGAAGGCCTAATCCTTCCCCTCCCCAAATCGCTCCATAATCCCTTATCCCTAAAATCTCGGCAACGCACTCGTAACTCCTCTATTGTTGCGGGTGTCCAAGGGTGGCGCTGATTGCTTACTATCAGGTCATCCATCTGCTCGTTAAAATTCCAGTTAAATTAGAAGACACGGGACATGCTTACTACATACCAAAAAGATGAAAAGATTACTCCAATGAAACGGAAAATCACTCAAGTTTTACCTAGGAACACATACATAGATATCTCGGCAAAACTATTTATATTTATCAACTGGGAAATCGTCAATGTCTCCGCTATGGTTTCGTAATTCTGATAGAGATTCAGAAGCAGATACGAAGCTTATCTTTAATCTAATCTGAGTCCATTGACATTCTACACAACGGGAGATCTGACTCCCAGCGCAATGGCCTTAGGTGTCGTAATACTAGCCAATAATGTACCGCGGTGCCGGCCCAGAGTAGGAGAAGCAAGGGGGTGGTTTTTACCAGTAACAGACTGACATTCCCTCTGGCCTCACCCAGGACAAAAGAAATGATACATATGAATGAAGGTTTTTCCCCCCTCCTAAAAATCGTTTGTAAAATCATATTATTCTAAATTAGTAATTTTGGTGCTATTTCAGTTGTATTACAACTGCAATGTTTCAAAAATCCAACTTTTGAAATATGCTATAAATCAATTTCGAGTTCTGGTATGACTTAAAACCTGAAAGCCTTAGATCTTTTGATTTCTATCCTCATTCCACTCTATTACAAATTAGAAATATCAACTAGTAAGTATAAGATATTCCTACGAACAAAGTATAAATATCGACTAAAATGATTTTATCCTCCAAAAAAACAACAGACCAATTTTCAGATAACAGACAGCGAAACAAACCTGAACGAATTGCGACCTTGCTAAGTGCGAATTACTAAACATCAACATCACTGAAGAAAACACTTTTATTACCTGCTCTGCGACAGATAACAAACAAGGCATTTTGTAACTCGTTGTCGTAGTCGTTCATAAAATGAAGGTTTTCCTTTTGATTTATTGAAGAGGAATATCCCACCATAGGTAACTGTGATTTCTTTTGTCAGAGGAGAATCATAAAATGACTTCTACCACCCAGGGTAAGGCGAGAGAGTGTCCGACTCTTACTGACTAAAACCCCCCTGTTCCTTCTGCTTGGCCGAGGCCGCGGTGCCTCATTGCACTTAACCCGCAACCCCGGCTGAACATCAGCCCTGCAGTGTCCAGTCTGTGGTGGTCAATTGGCTCTTTGAGGCGTTAATCTTTTAATAAAAACCGCCCCGTTTCTTTCTCCGGCTCCGAGCCGTTTGCCCCAACCCAACCCAAACCCAGTTCAATTTCTGCGAGGTAAGAGGTGTCCTTGTTGGTGTCAAGTAGCTAACAGTAACCGACGCGAAAATTAGTATTTAATTTTTTGGTCTTATAATTATCTATTGCTAAACGTCTTATCCCAGTTAGCTGTCGTCTGTTGCGCAATGCTACTCATGAATATCAGCTAGTTGTCGTGTTTTCGTCTTAATGATAATTACTAATTTAGTGTAATATGTGTACAGTGTAATTAGGTATATAAGTATATACTTTTTGTATGATTCGAGGTAAGCGGGACAGTAATGCCCTAGTTTTAACGGCTTAAAAAAACGTTTGCCCATACTACGATTTTCTTCTGTATCATAAGTCAGTTTACAATCATACAATTTCATATTACACAACACACCCGTAACAACGATTTGTGGATAATACAAAGTTGTTCCGTGCTAGGATTGAACTCACGTAATCTTGCACAGCACCCAGTTTCCCAGCCACCGCGTCAATTGTACTGTCAGTTTTTTCAAAGTTTGATGTCGATGTGCAACATTTACCGACGACAGTTACCGTGCCAGCTACTATCAATTTGTTTCAGAACCCAAACTATTGTAACATTAAACGCTAGTCAGTCAGTTAGCGAGACAGTGTAAAACCTAACTTTGTTAGCTGTTATCATTTCGACATTGTTCTCAATATAAACGGGGCTCGCGAACTAATCGTAAGTGCTTTTTATCAGTGTTTGGAGAGCTCAACTATTTTAGTTATCTATCTGAATTTACGACGGAATCAACTTAAAGGTTTATGAGCTGCGAATTCCTGTTTGTTAACTCTCGTAAAATAACATTGGATAAATAACCAATGATAGTGACATTCGACACAAGCTAATATTTTTAGGATGATTACCTAATTGTAGGTAGCTCGAAGATACTCAATAATACTATATAATTTGTGTGAAAGATCCATGCTTAGGAAAGATCTACGCAATTCGTTTTTGATTGAATGAGCTCGTTCAACCGGAGTGATACCACAGTCTCACAGAACCTCATTCCGAAATTAATTAATCCTTAAAACACTAACCCCAAAAATCTGGCAACGCCAGTCTTTTGTACTCGTCAATGTTGAGAATTGGGTTATTAAGCGATCCCTCTGCTCGTTGGCCTAAGATTTAGGGATTCTAGGGATAAGGAAGGGGCAGCCTCCGGTAACCTCCACCGGCAAATCGAAAGCTGTGGTTGTTATACGCTGGTTTTCTAAGAGACCGTGGTATTACTAAGGTCGACCCGATCCTTTCAAGATGAAGCATAATGGCTCTCCCACTCAATCAAACAAAGGTATTTATTCACTTAGTAGGTAGGTATCTCATGAAGTCTTTTCTAATCTAATTTTATTTTTCCTTTAACTCTTTCTGATCCGTCAGTCGGAAATAATATCTATTAGTTAATGTTCTTTATCTAAAAGATATACAATAAATTGATACAAAGTGAACATCAATCGGGACTTTTTCAATAACGTACTTACGATACTCAACAGCACAGTATTTCATTTGATTGTTTCACTTTAAAAGGGCTTATATTACTTTGTATACAGATTTTGGTATCTTGATTTCATCTGGGAATTAAATTAAAAATGAGTCCAAGTCCAAGTCCTTTATTTTCTTCGGCAAAAGTTCACCCAGATACTCCAAACCATTTGATTAAATTAGGATATAACTGATAGAACCCTCAACGTCATCCTCACTATCCAATTTCCACATCGTCTATAATTTACTTCGGCAGCCTGGAGCAGGAGATGGAACGGGGTAGTTTTTATTCAGAAAGAGTCTGACACTCCCTCTCCCCTCAACCAGGGCGTGAGAAGTCGTTTGATAATTTTCCCCTCTCCCGAAGGAGAGCACTTGCATCGACATATTCCACCCTGCTTTATACAGCTTTATAGGTGAAATGAGAATTATTGAGGACCAAGTAATATATATGTCTATGTTGAGGACACAAAAGCCTACTTTATTGGACAAACCAAATGGAATTAACCTTTTAAATGTTCGAGTTTACCAGAGAACGCAGCCGTTCTCTGTTTCATTCATCAAACCTTAAGCGAACGCCGTCATTCGCGCCCCTATTGTTCTTCTGTTGTGTCTCGAATTGCTACGATTGAAAGGTTTATCTATAGTCTTTTAGTCCGGTCTTAGGAAGCACGAAAAAGAGGCAGCTGACTGATGTATTCTACTAAGCTATAACGAAATGTGTGATAATACGGCCTCACAGAAAACTGACATGAAATAACACTTACGTTGTATTTCATAGTGTTAGTAAGGTTACCGAAGACCCAATGCTTTCCACCCATCCTCAATCCTCAAATCTCCTATTCTTAAATCTCGAATGGTGGACAACACCTTTGGTAGGTCACCATCAGGTAATACGTCAGCTCGCCTTCAAAATACGGCATTCCAAACTGATATTATAAATGCGAAAGTAACTCTGTCAGTCTGTATATCCGTCTTTTCTTCACGCCTAAACTAATGAACCGATTTCTGTACAATTTGGTATAGACATAGTTTGGAACTCGAGAAAGGACATAGGATAGTTTTTATACCAAAAATCTGCAAGAAGTCACTATTTTTTAGCCACGCGAACGGAGTTGCGGGCAAAGCAAGTAAAGAATAAACACACAAAATATATTTGTATAACTCATTTATTTTATATTCACATTGTAGTTACGAGTTTCAAAGGTGAAACACCAGCTTTTACATATAAAATGAGAACAAAAATATTTCACAAAAAAATAACTAGGTATAAGAGAAATGCGTTCGAACGAAAGCTAATAATGTTTGTAGTAACTAGTCGTTGCTATATAATACAGCAAAACATACTTAATTTAACTATATATGTACTTGGCAGTTTATATTGTGAGTCGTGGTCGAGGTGTGAACTAAATGATTAATACTGATCGATGCCAAGCCGAGCCGGATGACGACTTCGAAGGTCGCAACTTGAATACGGGGCTGCTTGACGTGTCTCAGCCCTCGATTTTCCAAAGTTTAAAAAAAAAGCTATACAATAATTGACTAAATACCTTAAGACGCTATAGGAAGCGTGTGGATACATGAATGGCGAATGACTGCCGACGTGAGCCCGCTAGCCACCCGCCCAAACAAAGTATCTCCACGTCACAAATAATAAACTAAGGTCATCGCACAATCGTATTAATGTCTAAATCAGACAATCCAGAGTACTAAGACATTAAACTATCATTGAGCATAATTATAAGAAAACGGCAGTCAAATTAAACACAATTTATCGAAATAAAAATGCTACATTGAGTATAGTGAGATAGTCAAATGATAAAATACAATCGGGGCAGCAAGCACGTACGGAACTTTAATATTTAGGGTCCCGTCGCGTATATATAGAACCCTTTTGTTCAATTGGTCGATATCTATACATATACATACATATAAAATGCACAGGTATTGGTCCTGCATTTAATAGGGTATCAAATATCTAAAATATTTCCAAAACTTTTGTACAAGACGTTATACAATATTAGGAGAAAGTAAATGATCGTAGGAGCGACCATCTTTGTTATATATTAACGAACAATAATAAAAACACAGACAACAAGTACACGATACGCGATAATTATATAATACACGTAAATAAAGTTGCATAAGTGCTTGCTCGAACTACACTCCCACGAAATAGAAATAATACAATTCATTTGTAAGCCATTACAAGTGTCTACATACAAGTATCCAAGAAAATCTACAAACTAAATCGAAAAATAATAAAAAAATGCATGTTAATTCAATAAACATTATATAGGCCATTTGTAAAATGTTACAAATATATTATATGAGGAAGACGAAATTAAACTTTTATGTCAAACATATTGCACTTAATTACATGGTGTAAAGGGTTATTTTTGTATAACTATTGTTTAGTTAGATCACACACAGACAGACCCTAGTCCATTGCTAGCCCTGTTGAATTAAACTTCAATGGGTAGACAAAATACTTCACAACGACGGCCTATCTTCATGAGATCTTCGTTTACAATGGTATAGTGATTAAGCCGAGTTGCAAGTTAGCTAGGTACGCAATAAAAATCAATTGACTAAACTAAAATTCATTTGTTCACAATGCGTGTAGCTTCTAGCCGACTCGACTGAACCACTAGAGCAGTGCAAACGGTACATAAGAAATAGTTTGTTCGGCTTGGTCGAGGTAAGCAATCGTCACTACGCAAGAATCGCTCCACACTTACATTGAATCAATTCTTACAAGCTAACATACAACCTAACTTTACATAGTTTGGACTAGGTTCGGTGCCCGACTAGTTACCTCGATCATTGTACCATACCAGCTGAAGGAAATGAATGATATGTTTGACACTACCGACGACAAAATAATACGACAAACATCTGTATACGTGTTGTAAAATAAAATGTTGTAAAATGTACTTAACATGCGCTACGGGGGCCAGTGACGTTACATGTGGCTACCGTACGATTACATAAGCGCTTCAAATCATAACGTAAATGATATCGATGATTGACAACAATGACACCTACTACGCTAGTCCACAAATAAATAGCGTAGCTTAGCTCCTTAACCTAGGTTCAAAGGCCTTGTAACTAACTACCCTTATATCCTTTAAGAATTCCGATTATAAGGTCACCATTTCGTTACGAATACAGCTTCATTATATCACTTGAGAAAAATTAACTAATTACACAAAACGTAACTTAAATCGATTTGTTTAAAATTAAAATGAACGAATGACATTTTGATTCTGTAGAAAAATGTTAAATTATTTTAGTCACACAAGTTCGCTTAATCTACAGCTTCGAGGGGGAATTGTTGTGCGAGCGTCTCGCACGCGGGCGGGGCGCGTTCGAGAGCATCTTGCGGTGCCGCGCAAGATCCGCCCAACGGCCGGCCCGGCCCGGCCCGACCGGGACACATTCGGCCCTCGACGGCTAACGAGTCGTTTTCGGTGAAACGATCGGGGATCGTTCCCCGAACGGTGGTCGAGGGTTCCCTAACGCTAAACGAGACTCACAGGCACTAACACCGACACACCCGAACGTCCACGTCGACAATACATAGAACACTGCAGAGTCGGCACTCGCACAAACCACTACACGCTCGTATAACTTAGTTAGTGAGATCAATAGGGCCCTGCGGGGTCAGACGAGGTGGTCGCGGTCGTCCAAAGACACGTCGGAGTCGCGGTCGGGGCGCAGCTCCCGTTCGAGGTCCAGCGAGCGGCGCTCGGGCTCCAGGCGGCCGGCCCGCAGGCGCCGCGCTGACGCCGGCCGCTAGGACGCCGCGCCCAGGTGCGGCAGCTTGGCGCCCCAGTAGCGCGCCATGCCATGCGCGCCGCCACCGCTCACGCCACTAACGCCGCTCACGCCGCTTACTGCGCTCACCGCGCTCACGCCGCTAACGCCACTGGTCGTGCTACCACCGCCGCTTTCTTCCGACAGGGCCGCCTGCAGTTTCGCTTCTGTAAATAAAATAAAAAAATTCTTAGTCTTCATTTCAGCAAACGGCTTTTCTAGAAATAAGTCTAAAACAAGTTGAAAAAGAAAAATGGTTGAACCTAAGATGTTGCCTTGAGGAACGCCTAATTGAATTAGAGCATTGTCTTTCATGATCTCGCTTGTTTTGACATTCTTGTACACAAAAAATATCAGAATATTTATGAAAGATACATTATTATTGCAATCGTATCTAAGATACATGCTTGTTTCAGTTATAGCGTAATGATCAAGATCGAATTTTAGCTCAAATGCATTAGTTGCATCGAAAAAAATATTAAAAAAGGCTTAAGGAATTTGAACAATTTATTGAGAAAATTTACTTTGAATTTATTCAGAAGCTAGTTATTTGTAACCGAAATATATACTCACTGGCGACTTGCGAGGCGTTGAAGGTGACGGGCGTGCGAGCGAGAGGCGTGCGCAGCGAGCCGCCGCGTGCGCCCCCCGACCCGCCCGCGCCCGCCCCCGCGCCACCCACGCACCCACCGCTTGTCTGTACACACAGGACACATATTGTTAGCACATCACACCTTATATCCTCAACTAAGACAATTTAAAGTAACTATAACTACACAATTTTTATTTATACATTAAAACAATTTAATCTCTTACAAATATACATTATGTAAAGCTACTTTTTTCCTAAAATATAGACAGTTAACCAACTTCAATTAAGAATAATACAAAAAACGTCACTACTATAACAACTGTACTACTAAAATATGATCCTAAAACACTCAAAGTCCTTTCAAAAGCGTAAGCAAGAGATTTCTATTTAGCTGTTTACAAAATATAGCATCGATTAAAAAAAGGGCAAATAAAAATGTTTCGCTTCAATAACTGGGGCAGAGATAGTGATCTAGATTAGTAGCTGGGTGCATGGTTGCATGTCGCGTGTCATAAACAGTAAATGCGTCGCCCGCTTACTTATGTAAATTTAGAGATTCAAGCCATTGTTGTTGATAACTTTTGTGAACTTAATGATCGTAGATGAGGTATTTTGTTTTAGTTCAGTTTGAATTCTATTTTTATTTACCCTTTCTCTGTCAAAATACGGTAGTTTCTAACTAGTAGTCAAATTCAATACTTTTTATCTAAATGTCAAAAACGATACTTTTCTATTAAATTGGTATGAAACTCCAAATCGTGACGTCATAGTATTTTTGCATCAAATAGTAAGTGCTACTAGTAATACTTATTTCTTAACAATTAGCTAAAAAATATCGAAAATTTAGTGTATCGACAGATCGAAGAATAAAAGTTTAGTAAAGTGTAGTTATTAAAAAAAATGTATTCAATACAAAAAATAATAATTTTACTCTGATATTTATAATCTATGCGATATGCATGTTAAAAACACTCTCACTTTGCTAAATAAAGCATAGAACATCTAGCCGTATATCTATCTACATATCTAACTTCTATATTTTTGCTTTATTTCCATTAAACTTCATCTACCTTTTAGAGCGTGGGTGCGTTTACAAACATTTTATACACACAACATACCGAAACAACGTAAAAACATACAAATATTTGTACCACGTGAGTTTCAAAGTCGAATTTTCACGATTTTCAACACATAAAGTACTAACAAATATTTCACTAAACGACGGGATCTTCCATATCTCTTAAAACTTATTCAAAATGTTAAAGTTAATAACGAAACACAATTCCAGAACTCGTTATTTTGAAAACTGAAATTTCAATAAAACTTTGCCAGATTCAAATCCTTATAGTTTTAGATAGTTGTGCACAGGAACACCAACTAACTAACTTAGCATCTTTCATTATCGATTATAAAAATAAATTGCGATATGTAGTACCTTTTGGTAAGAGCATAACTCAACAAAGCATAGACCATTTCCGACATTGTTTTTGTTGTATTAGTAATCTCCTGGCAGGTAAATGTTCTTTATGGTGTGAAAATGCAGGAAAAGGCAACCCTTTTGAATTTTACATGCCGTGGCAGTTTACTTGCTAAACAAATCACTGACACCGAAGTACTTATGCCCGTGCGAAGTAGGAGCGGGTCGCTAATTTCCTAATAAAAATGACCTGAACCATTCACCTATATATTTATAGCTTACTGACGCAGATCCAATCTGAACTATGAAAGAGCTACTCTCCCATCTATCCGAACGACGTCATCTAAGAGTTTAACGTAACAGATTTAAAAATACCTGACACTCGACAGGTTACCGTACCTACAACTGGATTGAGATACCACATGTTTCCTGAGATATGCTCACACAAACGATCGACTGATTCTCTCGTAAATTGATTTTGAACTTGAGAAGTCATGGTTAAGGTTTTCTATAAACATATAGCCTTGACACATCAATCAATTTGGATGTGGTTTTCGTTAAATTAGACTGGGTTTTATAAAGATTGACAAGGCTTTTTCCATACCTACAGGGTCGACAAAGTCGGTGGTGTCAGATGATGAAATATTAAGAAAACTGTGTCATACGAGAATGGTTGTGACTTTGGCACCATATTTCTATAAGAAATAATACTTAGACGATGATACAATACAATTTAATATACATATAATATAGTATATATTATTCTGAATTTTCAACTCAACAGTTTTCTATGGATGTTGTACGAAACTATATTTGTGTAGTGACATCACATTTCATTTGGTTCAATAAGCATACTTATTTCTTATAGAAAAAATCTACACAGAATATGAAGAAAATTATACCATAAAATCAGTTAATGAGTGTGATTATTTTATAAGTATTTTATGGCTTATAAGTATTTTATTTTGACTAATAAACTTGCAATTATAAATAATAGAATTTCAAAAGAAATGAACTCATTTATTGTTACTGCCACTATGTATAGCCCAAAGTTCAACCGTTCACACTTAAACCTCTTGGGTCATAAACACATTGCAATACAACACGAATATAATAATGGTCAACACGTTGAGGTAGCTACACAAGTACCTACTGAACCTTTAGGGCGGTGACACATTACAGCGTATTGTCGCGACATTGCGCAGGCGCCGGCGCCCAAGAGTCAGTTTATAAAATTGGTATTCTGTCTCAGACGTGTGATGACACAACCATTCGATTCCAGGAACGTTGACATTTAAAGTTACTCTGACAGATTTTTGGCAACAGTTTATATAAACTGTCATCATAGAAATTGTAAATAATTAATTAGTCATTTTTAATATCAGCGAATGTAATGCTTAGGAATTTTTACTAAAATGTGTAGTCTAGGATTGGCACACCTGTCAGTAAGATCGGCCGCGAAGTTTACTAGGTCAAAAATAAATTAATAAAAAGTTTCAATACAATAAAATAATAAAAAATAACTAAGTAAGTATACTTTAGTTATCGATCTGTGGATACCTACACAAAATTTTCGATATTTTTTTGCAAATTTTTCAGAAATATGTGTAAGTAAGCTATTTGGACGTAAAAAACTACGACGTCATAATTTGGAGTTTCATACCAATTTCATTGATAAGTATCGTTTTTGACATTTGGATAAAAGTATTGAATTTGACTAGTTGTCAAATACCGTATTGTTTACGAATAAAATTTTAGCATTGATCAACCATTTATATGTATGATCTACAGTCATTTGGTCCGTAACCGAAGCGATATGTTTGTAAATACACCCACGATCCGAGAGAAATTTCTAGCGTAGTACAATGTTCTAAAAATATACTTAAGTCTATAACAAACTCTGTTAAAATGTTGCACCTTTTAAATAACCTCAAAATTAATATTTTGTTAACCACATTTCTCTTTTGCAAATAAAACATAACTCAAAAATAAAACTATAAAAACAGACAGCAAAAAAATATAAAAAAAACTTAAAATAAAAATAGGAATTGTTTGTGGTAATAAGATAACTTTCTAAGGAGTTTTTATGTTACAAACTATTGTCTATGCGCACCTCAGCAAGCGGTACTCACACACAATTTCCATAGATAAGATTGTTAGATGAGAAACACGCACGGTAAGGTTTACTCTCAATGTTGAAATGGATGCAAAAAATAGGATTTTTACTACATTTTATAAGTTGGTATGGTATGTGGTTTTCTTCGCGAAGAAAGTGCAAGATTGTATTAGTACAATGCACTTGGAATGCGGTTAGTAATTAGTATTTAATTACTAGTATTCATTATCACACCATTGTTGTTTTAATGTGGCAATAAAGATGCCAAAGTGAACTTTATTCCACCAAACAGATTTCATAGTGATCTTATTCATATCATAATCTCTGATGTGAATTCTGATTTATCAACATACGTCATGGTTTATCATTATAGTTCATCTCATTTCATATTTTCCTATCAAATAAGATGATTATAATTTGAAGCCGTTTTTACTCTTTGTGCATGTAATGTTAGCCTTTAATTAATTGTTGCACTTGTTACTAAGTTAATTAGCAATGTACTGTGTAAACAAATGTTAGTTGACCTAAAAAAAACTTGTTTTGTATTTTTTATTTGCTTAGGGACTTTTATAATCGCAATGCGTATGTCAGTCCCATCGTACCCTAAATATAATTAATAACATTTAATACTATTAAATGTTAATACTTAATGCTGTGCCATGAGTCAAAACAAACTCTTTGCATCATCACTACGAAGTTGACCCAAAATCTTATGAAGTGCCAACTTCAAGTGTGTGCAGCTTCAGGCCTTTATCAAATAATTTCGTATAAATAAACTTCATCCAAGATAAAATTGAGAGTTAACCATAGACATATTAGTAAAGAGAAAACATCATCATATTCCCACAAAAAATAAATAAAAAAAAACAAGGTGTAAGAAGCAGGACTTGCCTATTTGTCAGTGCACTTAGGGTGCGCGAGCCGCTTGGCGTGGTGCGCTATACTAACGTGGTTGGCGGGCAAGGAGTGGGGGAGGGGGAGCAGCGCGGGCGCAGCCTCCTCGTCGTGCGGCGGCCGAGGCAGGCGTCTGCGCAACCACGCGTGTCGCAGCGCCTGCGCAGGCGTCAGCCGCTTCTCGGGGTCCCACTCCAGGCACCTGTACAATTTGTGTCATTGTTATTTTATTTTAAACAAAAAAATTAATCATACATGTGTTGCTAAGAAATAAAATTTAAGAACAGTTTTAGGGTAAATTATTGAGATGAGGGGCACACAAAACAAATGACACCGAGATAGTTTTGAATAAAAATAAATTGTTCTCCGTATCACCTGTGCCGTGGCCATAAGTTCAGTTTGTAGCATTATGCAATAGAAATCGACACACATACAAATGTAGAAAGACACAGTTTGTAATAATACCAATTAATTATTCAAAATGATCTGATAATAGATATACAAATATTAACATATTGCTACTAGCTATATCTTAAGAGACTGTACAAAATATATGAACAATTTTTGTTAGGTACATCAAGCCCTTTGGATCTTCAATATTAAACGTGAGATCATTAACCCTTTCCTTGAAATAACGGAAGCCCTTTCATTTAAAATTGTTTACTAAACAAAAAAAAAAGAAAAACAGAAAGCGGAAGTTATTATTTGTACGAACAGCAAATTTTCCAAAGTTAAATGAATTTTCCTTTGAGCGTTGCACACGACAACATATTTTCGGAAGATTTGTATATTCCATACATCCTTCTAATTCTTGAAATAGCAATTATGATCTCTTTAATTAGCAAACAGAGTTTGGTACTAGGAATGAATATGTCGAAATGTGAAAAACATTTCAAGTTAATAAACTAATAAAATAATTCTGTGTTCTTTGGTTACCGTCTGAAACGTAACGTACGCTAACGTACGCGCGAAACCGCAAGGAAAGGATTTAAAAAAAAGAAACATTTCTGTGTAATTTTCCTATCCACCGTTACATAATGCATTGATCTCGGAAAATAATGAAACACTAAATAATATGAAAATAAAAACAAAAAATGTATAAACCTATCACTAGTTCCATTATAATAATAATTATGAGTTTACCTTCTTATAAAATCAATAAAGAATTTGTCTTGGCACCCCTTGAGAGCGGTGACAAAACTTTTTGACCCTGGAGGACCTCTGGGCTTGCCTCTCCTTGACATTCCTGGAAAATGCAAAGTAATCAATTAGCAAAGACACAAAGTTCAATTTAGATTCAATTGACTGTTTTTCGTTTTTCAATCAGATTATCACTTCATAGTATAAAACAAAGTCGCTTTCTCTGTTCCTATGTATGCTTAAATCTTTAAAATTACGGAACAGATTTGATTCTATTTTTCAATAGGTGTGATTGAAAAAGAAGGTTTATATGTATAATAACATTCATTAAATAGTGGATGAATTTATGAGCACCAGTATTGCACCCGTGCAAAGCTGGAGCGGATCGCTAGTATTGTTTAACACATCCACACAGGGTGGTCTAAAACGACTAGATATGTTGGTATTTCACATCAGAGTAGTAGAACGTAACGCCATTTGATAGTCAATTCACAAACAGATATTTAAATGGACCCCGCAAAGCGGTTCCCTCGACAATCAGCATCGCCCCAGATGAAATTATACGTGGAAATGCTAAAACCATTTTCATTCCCTAGAGGAAGAACAACATTCAGCCAGAAATTAAGGAATAGGTATTTACAATTTTCCCCGATGAAATAGGCTATTAAAACAAATAATAAATAACATTTTTATAATATCGAAGTAATTCTAGCTAATGTATGACAAATACAGTTTTAACATTATGTCAGTTCAATTTGGCTGGTAACCAAAAGGAAATGTTTCCTCGAACTATATATTGCTTACATTCCTGTCTTCATCTGTAGTTTAATTAGTATTTTCTGTGGAAATCATCGTTTGAATAATTAACCTTGACTAATTAGTTTGATAGCAACGCTTGTACTAGCTAAACGGTAGCTGTAATCTCTTTGATTCCCACAGGACTAGTTTATCACGCTACGTAATTGATTTTCATTGTGTTCTGAGCCGTATTACATAATAGTTTACAAAGGAAAATATTCAAACCGATTCGTATTTTAGATAAACATGTAATATATTATATTCTGTTTATTCATGACGAAGAAATCAATGCCAAAAAAATACAATCAAGTTAATTATTCCCATTTGACAAAATCCTTAACTAGGAAGCTACATAAACATACGTATGTAACAATTAACTACATGTATAATAAAAATATTTATTACAACAGGTCAGACAAGCGCCAGACATTGTTACATTATTTGTATCACGTGTCACATCGTCTGATGAGTCAGACCGTCAGACCGTGGGTACAACTATCACGGTAGAGTAAGTCATCATCCACACATCCCGATGTAAAATGATTCAAAATATTTCGAATTTCACTTCGATGACGTCCAGTGAAAGCATTGCGTGGTTCAGGAATTTCAGTAAGTGATGATTGTGTTTATTTTGAGAAATTTCGTAGTTTGTTTTGTTTGAAATGTTACGCCTACACCGTAATACGGTGCTAGGATTTTAATCCTACGTCTAAGACTAGGTCACGGCCTAAATAGCCAAATAATATCTAACTAGATCTATTTAGTGTGATTGAATAATAAACAAAAGCATTTATCACGTCATTAGTTTACACTTATATAGTTTCTTTATTATATTTTTCTGAATAATTTTCATCTAAAATCATCCTCAAAAACGGACGAATCAAATTAATAAATAAATCTTCAAATCGATGAATATAATTATCACGCGAACAAAGACAAGGAAACAAAAAAAAACAAACGTATTATCAAAAATATTACCTATCAAACTCTTTTTTATCGCTTATCAGATGTTTTGGAGATAAATTTTTATCTTTTTAAATAGGGTCGTGTGAGGTGTCGTGACCGACACCTGTGATGTGATGAGATGAGTGATGATAACTGTACTGAACAACAGACAAGGTAACCTTAATCCTTAACATTTAGGTTTAAAAAGTATTTTTGGATTGAGCACAGACTTGCTTGCGACAGTCACTTGTACTATATAGGAATTACTTCTGATTGCGAAGGTTTATGTCGATTGAAGTTGTTCGACATTTTTGGAAGTTAAACCTTTAAATGGTCAAAAAAAAATTATAGTAAACCTACCTAACTTTTTAAAATTAATTTAACATAATTCAATTTATCGGTCCGAATACAAAAACTAACAGTAGGTAAAGATGGGGGCTGTAACCATTTTTATAATACGACAGGACTTTTAAGCAACAACAACCAAGTGTACTCCTTCTTAAAACTTTGTTAACGATCACTTATTATATTGACTTTACCAAAACATCTTGTATTTACATCATATAATAAAGAAAATATCTCTTGTATCGGCTTTTCATCCTTTCAAAACTTAAAAAAAATAACAATGAGATACTCAAAAATATTTCACGACCACCAGTAAAAGTGACTTAGCAATCAACTCGCAAATTTATTGCAGTTAGTAATAAAACATCTAGTTTTCTCACCTCCACTAAGAACGGTGGTACCGTCAGCTAGCGTGGTAGCCGTACAGTACCGAGGAAGACCTTTGCTGCTGATGAAGTTCTTCGAACGTTTGCCCTGTTCGATTAGCTTCTGCGGCGGCATGCCCAGTAACTCAATGATGCACGCCATCTGATCCGCCTCATCCTCGCCTGGGAGTAACGGGAACCCTGGAATAGTGGAAGGACATATTTTAATTACGAAACCGAAAGAAAAGGATGGTGAAAGAAGAAGAGGGAAAGAATGCCTTTGAGTGATAGAATAAATAATATCAAAAACAGAATTCATAATAAAATATTGAATTAAAGTGCAAGGTTTTCTTCGAAAGAACTTTGAACAAATAATTCCAACTCAATCTATCTTAATAAATTATTAGAATGAATTCCAAGAATTGTTTTTGTGAGAACGTAGTATTCTTTTAAGGAAATAATAAATAAAAACACATTTCAAACATCAGTTAAGTAATACTTTACGTTAGAAGCCTGTTGTTTTCAATACCCTCATTAATAAGCTTAACTTTTGTTGAGTTGCTATCGTGAAAAACAAAATTTATTGAAAATGACCTGTTACTCACATGAATTAACTGACAAAAACTCTACTACTTTCAATTCCACAAATAAGAATCCCGAATTCTTTCAATAAATTTAAGCTCCATTTCATTAATTTACCAATTTCATTATTTTAAAAATGATCCTTAATTAATCATAATAAAATCATTGATATTTAAATGTTTTAGTCCAATTTTTATTTGTCATATAACCAATAGATTTCCGCATATAATAGAAGTGAACAGGAACTTTTTGAACCATTTCCAAAAACATTTCAGGGTTTTCCACTTAATCATTTGGCTATTTAAAAAGATCTCGTCAGACTGTAAGACAATTGTGAGTTGTTTTTTTGTGTCTGCGAAGTTAAACGCCTTAGTAAGGGGTTTCGGGAGCCATGGGGAATGGAATCGTTTAGTTGACGTGAAAAGGCTGAGGAAAGTGAGGAACGTTTATGGGAGGTTCGTTACGGGAAAGTGAACGAGTTGATGATGGCTTTTTTGTGTTGTTTTTGTTCAATTTATGGATTGTTATGGGTGTTTTTGACTAGAGGCGTAATGGTTACATTACAGTACAAGATTGTCATTGTCGTTGTCTAGACTTTAATCATACTGAATTCGATAAGTAACCAACAATTTAGCAAAAACAACGCTTTCACAACCGAATCCATTATAAAAGCTTAACATTTTTCTAATCGATTTACTAGTAAGTAATTCTGTCTCGTTCTTCCACAATGTCAAATAATGGATCATTATAATAATTCCTGTAATAGAATTGATGGAGTGCAAAGGTTCTTACCTGTAAGTAGCTCCGCCAGTATGCACCCTAAGGACCACATGTCGATGGGCATGCCATACCTGGCGCCCATCATCACCTCGGGCGCCCTGTAGAACCTCGATTGGATATACGTGTACACCCGCTGGTGCTCATAACAAGAGCTGCCGAAGTCTATCACCTGTTGACAAAAATAAAAAACAAACGTTAGTTTCCAAGTAAAAAATAATAATATACCTATAAATAAGTAAACTTTTGTGGGGTCGTTTATACTTATTAATTTCTCACCGCTCTGGGCAAAAATAATATAAATGAGATTCTTAAAACAAAGCAGTACGAAAAATGTATTTTCCTCCACGGTCAAAGCAATCTACTTCAATTATATTATAAAAGGACTTGAAAAGGCACTTTAAGAAGTCAACATTGAATTCAATATAACTATGTCTTTTTACATCTCCTGAACTCTACGCATAGAAGACTTTATTGGTATTAAACCCTACTACATATAACAAAAGATGCTAGAAGATAGCGAAACCCCGAAAACATTCACAGCGCAGACGAGACAGTATCGCGGTTAAAAATCGTTTTCACGAATACTTAAGTGGAGCGAGGAAGTCACCTTAAACGACATCCGTCGACCTAACCTAAATATGGCGACGAACCGGGTTAAACTTGAAGATCGGTCCAACGACCCTTGACTTTCGACACCTTCGAACAACGCCCGTCATCATAATACCATTATCTTCATCGCATCGTCTTTGACAAAAATGGCACAATTTATTTCAGGCAAATTTCTTCATTGTCAACCATATCACTTTATGATAAAATTAAAAATAGTTTTGACTGTTTAAGGTAACTTAATGAGCAGGTATTTACTGATCTGATGTGTTGTAATCTGAGTATGGAAACTGTTTATTTCTTTAACTAACGCGGGGTGAACGTCATTTGATATTTAACTAATTGTATGTTGAATAAACAAACGCGTTATTTACTACGTATTTACTGCTAAACCATAGGTTGTCAGCGAAAGTGATCGAGGAGAAACTGGTGACTGTTTGAAGTGAACGCGTGTGGTAATAAGGTGTTATAACTATGTACTTTAAAACCCCTTTCCATTCATTCTACACAATACTATGTCCTCTAACATGACATTAAAAACAACTTAATACATATTGCAAAGAAAATAAAAATCGAATTGACAAAAGGACTCAGTTAGCTAGTATTTTCAAACGTTTAATTCATCTAAAATTCAATTTCTATACTCTCCAACAAAAGTAATCTCGATCTAAAGAATATTTGAATTCTTAGAATAAATATTACGAAACATATACAAAAAAAAATATTTTCTCTTGAAATGGTAAATAATGTAGCAATTACACGTAATTCGCAAAGCTGGGAACACTTCAAAGATCTTACGTTCGGGAGTAATAAGCTGTTTATTTATTTATGAAGTGTAGTTAAAGAAAAAAATCATAAGGCAATTTACCATTTTCAATATATTGCTAGTCTGGGTCTTGGGATTTTGTTGGGATTGGGATTGAGTTCTCTTAAGTTTTTATTAGTTTATCGATGTAGTGACCTAGTTAACTAGGTGTTGGCAGTACTAGGGTGTTAGAACTACAAATTACAACACAAGTACAACTACTAACATTTCAATTATTAAAAATTAACGATGAATTAAAGAGATAGCTATAGCAGAAAACGGCTGCAGCAGACCATGACAAGCTTCTTTTAAAGCAAAAATCATTGAAATACTCTCCCGACCTGGGTGAAGCGGTGGGAGAGTGAAGACTCTTACTGCCTAAATAAATATCAACCCAAAAAAGTTAAGTGTTTAAGTCAGCACATACAGCAAAACGAATGTAATGTAGTTAATATTAATATTGTTGAGAATAAAGACGAAACACATGAGCAAACAGTACGCAGTCAAAATAACATGTTTACGTGTAAGGAACACAATACATGAAATAGAAAAGAATAGAGAAGTGCTATATAACATTTCTAGAACAATCTAGAGAAAAATCTCGAAGACGCCATACTGGCCATAGACTAATAATGTTTCGTTGTTATACTAAAATGAGTATCGAAAAAAGTTAGATTTATTAATGGCGTGTAGCCTAGAAATAGATCTGCTTGTTTTTCTTCTTCGAAACATATTTTCTTTGATAACATTCATATTACTTAGTTGAGAAAAACATCATATTTCATAGCTGACTTCCGTGTGGATGAAATGCAGGCCGCTATTATGAATTTGGCCATATTTATCATTAAATTTTTAATGCAACACTTGTCAATCTACATAATTATGAGAGACTAGTTGTAACTTTACACAAAGGTTATGTTGATTTAGACAGATTTATTACATTTTATTGCATAAAAACATTCAAGATTCTGTGACCAGGAAGACACTCAAATGTTGCCAGAATAAATTTTTATATTGGAACTGTCTTTTTCATGTATTTAGTAAGGATTCGGTGCCGTCATACGTAACACTGCAGGAGTTCCAGGTGTGTTATTGGTCTTTGGGATTTGGGGATGAGGGAAGAAAGGGCTTCAACTTTAAGACTGTAGACCCGTTCATAATTAGGTAAGAACTTACTTCGCTTGAAGCTCCCTCTTATTGATAAACGAAAAACTGTTACTTTAAGAGGATAGGGGATATCTGGTATCTAAATACTGCCAAACAAAATTAACAGTTTATATTAATTTAGAGTGCATGTTGACATACAAGCTGCAAAACATGACCTGAATCCTATTTACATTTCGAATTTAATACGGAAATGTATTACGTCACGCGAATTATCGATAGCATCAACATACATATGGTATACATATATATACATACATACTGTAATAGGTGTCGAATGATGATCATAATATTTACAATTTATGTTTTGTAAATCTTCGATGATATCTCCTGAGATTTTAGATGGAACGTGAAGAATTGGAGTTAATCAAATAATAACTAAAAAAGAAAGATGAAGAACGTACTTAATTTTTCACTGATTGATTGTTATTGCCTTCTTCCATATGAGTGGCTTTTGTCACAATAACGGTTGAAGGGTTCAGGTTTTACTAGACCCGAGTGTTTGCTCAAAAAGCTATAGTATGATGAGGCTTAATAGGGCTAATGTTCAGCCGGAGTTGCGGGTACAAGCGTCATAAACAAGCACAGCCCCTGCTTGGAGTAGGAGAAGGATCGGGAAAAAAGTATTCTCCCATCTTATTTGATATTAATCAAATGAAAGTAAGCACCTTGGTCTTACGTCACCCAAGACAGGAGTAAGGTCATGATGGCAGATTACAGACATATTCAACTCTGCCATTACTACACAGCCATTCCATTATGACAAAAGCCGTATTACCAAACATTTCTGACAAAATTTCAAGATTAGTAAATCAAAATTTTACAACACTTTTACATCTAAAAGTCAAATAGAACAATAACCTATTGAGCTCGTGTGTAGCTCCAAATATCGTTCGTTGTCTTACATACAATGGACATCAATCAGCAATATATTATCTAGAACGGGTGAGGTCAAAACATCTAATGTAATAAAGAACGAAGAAAAAGAACTTCAATAATTTAAAAATATAGTCTATAATTGAATACAATCAATTTATTTACACTTACAGTAACAACTCATGTTATATGTAACAGATTCTGGATCAATAGATCGATAAAAAAATCTTAGTATCGGATGGCGATTGAATTGAATGCAGCACGCGTGAGCACGCAAGGGTGTTCGTGTTGCCATACTCATCTTTAATAACTCAGTACCTGAGATTTATACCTTCTTACACAAGTAGACTATAGACATAGAAATACTGGATTACACTAACTAAATCGAAAAAAAAACAATGGCAAAAACTACATGAAACGTCTCAAAGAAATTCAACCACAATAAAAACAACCACAGCGTTGTATTTCGCCGTGTGAGTGAGGTTACCGGAGGCCCAATCCTTCCCCTCCCCAGATCCCTCCCAATCCCTAAATCTCAAAAACCCTAATCCCTAAAAGGTCGGCAACGCACTCGTTACTCCTCCGTTGCGGGTGTCCATGGGCGATGCTGATTACTTACCATCAGGTAATCCGTCTGCTCGTTTGCCTACCTATTCCATAAAAAAAATCAATTTAACGAAAAAATTATAACAAAAACAATTTAAAAAATCGTTTATCACTTGGCAACACCATGAGGACGTTTGACGCACGCGCAAGTTCCGATCAATGCGCTTCAATGGTCCATTGTCTGTTGATTACGTTGTTACGACTTTATCATAACCCCATAATCAAGCTCTTGGAATTGAACTCAAGGCTTCACGTATAAGGTTCGGCCGAGAACTGTTTAAAATCAAAATGTATTAGTGTTGATCTGTGTTTTGATATTTGATTGATTTGAAATTATCTGGACTATAAGAGAAACTGTGACCACTGACTTCTTAAAGAAGTTAGCTGGGAAATACCTTATTTTCATTTTGAAAATTGTATGAAAGTGCTGCATCATATTCGCTACTAGCTACTCTTGCGCGGTTTTACCCGCTGCTCGGCTCTATTTAATTCTAGCGTCATGTTTTATAGCATATAGCACTCAGGAACATTGTAGCTATCTATCAGTAAAAGAATTTTGGCAATCCTACCAGCGGTTCCAAACATTGCCCCCTACATACAAACTTACTAACATACACATTTTACCTCTTTATAATATTAGTATAGAAGTATAGACGAGACGCTACAGCTAAATATATGCCTTTATGCTGTAACACTGAATTATTCGTAATTTTTGCAGGGATTTTTCTGTTTTTCTGTGGGCTCTTTGTAATTGATCTGGCGTCGAAAGCGACTAACGTGTTAGTTTTTATTGAAAACCTTTAAATATGTATTCTTTGTTTTTATAAACACTGGCTGATAATGGAAGGTTTTTCTTGTCCTTTTTATAATGTTTGGAGATGAGCACATTAAATCTGGTGCCCACGCAAAAGAAGTATTAAACTACCAATTTATTAGTCTTCAGGTCAGACAGATGGTATACTGCAACGTCATGGCACCCAGTTCATACGTATGCAGTTCTAGAAAAGCTAAAAATATATAAAAAAAAACAACCGATTGATTAATAGTACCTATCAAAAATATGATTGATTGGCACTTCCCTGCACTAAATGATGGTAATGTGCCTGACGGCATCGGAAGAAACACAGACGGTGAACTACTGGCAGTTATTTGTTACAAAAATTAATAAATACTTTAAGAAATTGTTTTAAATAATGGCGGCCAGACAAATTGACGTCAATGAACCTTGTAGGACTTTACAATAATGATGTATTCCATAGAAAAATTATTTTGACAGCACTAAATGGGGGACAGAGGCCAATAGTTGATATTCTGCGAAGCGACAGTCGTCATTGGCAGGACTCCAATGATTGTCATCGGTTTATGTATCATATTAAAGTGACAGGTTATATCTTATAATGACCACACGACTGCGGTTTAGTCATTAAGTAATGATGGTGCACATTAAAATAATCTTTGTTACAAAATATGACTGTTTAGTGGCGATGGAAATGTCTTTCTTCTAAGAAATGAGACGTAGTAAATGGCCAGCTAGAACCGAAGTTGGCTAACAAGCACATAAAGGTATTATTACGAATTAATGACTAAACAAGATAATCTTTAAAACGAACATTTTATATCAAATTGATGCAGTTATGAC